CCTCAGCACATGACGAAGATTCCAAAATATATTTGAACAAATTCACCGTTGCATTTATAGCAGCAACCCATATAATTTTTTATTGGTTAATAATCACTTGAGCTATATTTCTACGAGTACTACGAGGCTCGACCTACCCCGCTAGGTCATCACGTAGTACGCAGGGGTGCATAAAACATACAGGTAGAAATCGATACCGACTCCAGCTCGAACCATTGCTCTCCGAAACCGCTTCTTCAGTAATCAATTTTTTTATTGAGAGGACGGCTCGCAAGGCCCAGTGTCAAGCCTGTTTTGTCCCATTTGAGCCAATCACACGGACGATCTTTTGATTAAGGTTTCAAGAGCATGCGGGTATCAAGTATTCAACTTCAAGTGCAAAAATTTTAAATGGTGTTCGCAGTCTACCACAGGAAAATTGTTTTTTCCAATTAACAGTATGTTTCCATTGTAGACAAATATAATAACCCATTTTGCCCGCACAAGTCTTAATTAAAAAATAAAATTGTACTTACTATTATCAACAAATTTCAAGGATATCAACATTTTGTTCTAATACAGTTTTTGTTTTTTTTTTTACTTTAAACTACGACTGAAAATAAAACAATAATTCTATTGTAGAAAATATTACAATTTATTATTTTGTCAATTCTTGTTTCAATTTTGCGGTTAATTATAGTTGAAAGGGAGAATAATTTACGAAACAAGGCATAAATAATTTACTGAAAATTGTATTTCTGTATCCACTCCGCTTTTCCACCCACAATTAATTAATTAAACAAGGGTGTCAATGACATGTTAACCAATATGAATAAATTTTTTTATCAGTTATGTAAGATCAAAGAATATCGGCAATTTAGTTCCTTGATTGTAATAAAGGTCAGCTACCCAATTCCTGCAGATTGGCGGAACGATATGGCGGACATGACCTAGATAGTATTTGATAGTATTTACTACAAAACCCATCATTATAATTGCTTGACGAAATAAGAATAATAAAATATTCAACTAAGAGAAAAAATCAATAAAACCAACGCAATCAATTCTGACGTTGCTCTGTATCCATAAACACTCAAAATTAGTCAGCGTGAGGTTTTCCATTTTAATGTTTATAATAAACTCTTTGTATCATAAACCAATTTTCGAGTAAGTGATTTACAAACCGAGAAATATTCAAATTAGCACGATTTTTACTGCTTCCGATGTGTCATTGTAAAGGCATCAATGCTATTTTGTTACTTTTCAAAAAACAAATCCCCAAATTACACTATTATCAAAACTAGAATTTGTAATAGTTGAGTGTTTATGTCCGTCTTATTTACATTGACACTTTGCCAAGTTTTTCAGGTTTTTCACAATTGTCATGCGCTCTCTGTTCTTTGAAATTAATTTTTCTTACCTATGAACATTTACGTAACGAGTCACCAGTCAAAAAGGCACTGAAAACTGATAATATCAATGGTGATTGTTTACGTCGCTAAAGCGACAGACTTCACTATGTTGTGGATTTCAACTGAGCTTGCGGACTCCATGCGAGCTTTGCCAGGATTCGCGCGCAGTCTCGGTTTCCAACGGAAGCTCTTAAACTGCGAGAAAGGTAATCCTGCTGTTTCAGGACTACTCACCAGAAATATTCATTTCGATAGCTTTTCGAGTCTAGGGTTGAAAAACAGACAGGACTACATGACAAGATTCTGGATTATCCTTGCAGGAAATGTTAAAATTTTGATTTTTAGTGATAAATAGATAAACAGTTGCAATTTAATTTTAAATGAATCTTGTAACGGTCATTTTGTTTACATGATAGTTTATTAATTCGTGATAACTGATAAGCGTTATCAAAGATGCAGTAACGGACATTTTAATGGGAAATAACAATTAACAAAACTACCGTTAAGAGATCAAAGTGTCAGTGGAATTTTTTGATATAAAAGTCGGTAGTCTTTAAATTTAATAAAGGAAAAGACAATTTTAAAATTCTGATTAATGCATGTTTTGCAAATACCTTTTTAAATTATAAGATAAAATAAAATAATATTTACATAAACTATTTTCCATTTAAACATAAACATTTCTGTGCCCTTTGAGGTAAGACGTAAAAAGTACTTCTATACTAACATAAGCGTATAATTGTTCCAAAGTGTTTGTGCATCAAGCCACCTAAAGAATTTAAAAGTTATCAGAAAAACTATATTTGAATCGACCTTACAAAAGAATTTAAAATGTTTAAAAAAAAAGCTCAATAATTGTTAATCAGAAGATTTGACAGTGTCAACAGATTAAGGAATTTGAAATAAAAATCGAAAAAATATTGTAAACAAAGCGGTCGCTTATGGACATGGGACAAGTGGATGGTAGATGGGTTTGTTTAGTCTACATCCCATATTTCATCTCATACTACAGATATTTATTTTTGCTTCACTTAATTAAGAGAATTATTCAACACACAGAAACTATACATGTATGTACTGTATGTAATATGGAATAATCTTATTAAAACTGAAAATATTTTGTTTTTAAAAAATACGCAATCTTCAACTTGATTTAAAATTTTACACTTTTGAGTACCTAATGATGATCGACATCTTTTTAAATGGAATTCCTATTTTTTTTTAGCCAATTCGATAGATTTTTTAATTGTCGAAATGACAACACAACATACATAAAGTTTTCGAAAAAAAAACATCCAAAAAGTAAAATAATATCAACAAAAAATAAATTAAGTTGAGATTTTTGTATTTTAAAATAAAAAAATTGAAAATGTTCGAGCATTTTTGTCAAAACAAAATATTTTCAGTTTTAATAAATAAGATTGATTATTCCATAATTTGTGGCCCACTGTATAACAATATGAAATAAAAAGGTACTTCAATTGTAACTTTTATTAAAAAATATCAATGCTTTTGGAAAAAGCTCAGGCAAATTCGGGTTAGGAATAACATACGCGATAAGTATTTTTTTACTTACCTACTCCTGCTACATTCTCTTTTAATGCGTTTTTTCCTAATATTTCAGAAACCATTTTACATAAAGTTATACAAAAAACTACCCTAATTGCTTTTAGATTTTGGTCATGTTAAAAATAAATTAAAATTCCATAGTTATCACAACATTGTGCAACTTTCCGTTTAAAATCAATTTAAAATTTATGTTGCAGACCAGAAATATTCTGTCACCTATTTCAAGTAACAATAATAATACAATAATAACAATATTAATATAACTAGTTAATTTTCATACTGATTTTATAAAACAAAGTAATTTGTCATTAAAAACGAATAAAATTCAGCTACCTCTACCACCTATTTAAAAAAAAAAAATAGTTAATAGGAAAAGTAGTTAATAAAATAAGCACTTTCGCAGATAAAACATATAAAATAAGAAAAAAATGCAATTGAAATGTCTACAACTATTTATAGACAAGAAGACAAAAACAGATTTCTATTTTTTTTTTGTTAGTTTTATATTGCGGTAGGTACTTACGTGTACATAATTAACAAAATGCCTGCTTCGCATATTTAGTTTTTAATACAGTTGTTTGGTTTGGTTTATTCTTCAGATAAACGTCTGCATTCCAATCATTCTTTATAAATATGTATAGGACTATTGATTTTTGTATCAAATGTTTATAACCAAGCTAAACAGATCAAGATATAAATTGGAATAAAGCACAATGTAATGGTGAATCTGCCACTGTGTTCATTGAGTATTGTACATAATGTATATTAATTATATTTTGTTTGTATTATCATTTGAAGTGCATAAAAGTGTTTTGTTTGGCATTAAATAAAACACAAAACACATTAAATAAAACACAAAACTATCCCCGATAACTAAGTTCAGAATAAAACAAAACATGAAAACGTAAATAGCGTAGAGGACTTTATAATCAATGCATCTTGTTGAAAGTACTTAATTTCCTTTTAATATTCCCATTATAGATAAAGCGTCGGCTACATGATTATTCAACAAAACTGAAACTGTAACTAAAGAATGTCTAGAAAATTGTATAAGGTGTATTCAAACAATGTAAAAACATTATTGAATTATACCGTCATGGACTAACGTTAATTCTGTTTATACACATATTAGAAAAACCAAACGAAATACCGTAATTAAAAAAAAGTTATCCAAAAAAGCTTTTGAAAACGGTATAAAAAAGAGGATTAATGGGAAAAGAATAATAAGTTATAGCAAAAAAAATAATTAATGAAAAAATATCAAATAGATGGAGAGAGTGAGCATCTAATTTTGCTGTATCTTTAAAAGTTTAAAATATTTTTTTTGTGTCTTTGACTATCGATAGTTTCATACGATAAAAATTACTGTACCTAGGGTAAATTATGTATTCGAAAATTTATCAAAAATTAAAAACTTAAGGAAGGGACACATATAGAATAAAGAATAACAAGATTTGGAAAAACTTAAGATTTTAACAATATTTGGAGCTATGGAAACATAAGTTGGTGCGAATTTTCTTAACAGAATTTTGACTTGGTCAAAAAAAAAAGTAAATTTCAAACACCGTTTTTGTACCATTTTTAATGCAGTTTATAAGGAGTTTGTAGGGAAGGTATGTACATTTGCCACAGAGGCATGCATGTTCACGGTAATAATAATTATTCCATTACTACAAAAAAAAAGTGATCCAGAATGACTGAATCTGTTGGCAATCCTGACTCTAATTTTTAAAGCTTACCATTGGAGTGCGATTTTGATAAACAATTCAACATTTTTTAGGGGTCAGTATTTGTCAAGCAAAACCGTATCCGATTGGTTCCAGTGTTCAAATTATTAGCAAAATACTTAATGTTATGCAACCAAATGACGCGAGTGTATTGTGCGTAGCATAATGTATATTTTTTGAACTAGTTTTTCTTATTGGTAGACAATTATTGAACAATAAACATTGATAGAGAGAGTAGATGTCAGGATAATTTAAGGTGAGGTACAAAACATTTAATTGAATTCAAATTAACGCTTAATAAAAACAAAACAAATTAAATGAAAAACATTTATTTGACAGGATTTAAACATCTCTCTTGAGTTGTATAAAGCAACAACCGTTACTTCTTTCAACTCCCGAGAACAACACAATCACAAGTCCAGGTGTCGATATATTCTCATAAATTTCTTTCACCCACTTATCAACATTTTTAAACACCTTTGTTCCTTCCAATTGTCCTTCTTGTAGTTTCACATGTCCAATATTTAAAGAAAACATACCCATAGAATCACACATTTTCTTAACAACTTCTTTACAATTTTTTTCAGAAAAATACTTAATTTTCTCATTTTGTTGTTGCACTTTCAATTCTTTATCTACACAATATTTATATTTTGAAGTTATTTCATTAAGACCCACAACCACCGCCGTCTTATCCACTTTCGTCGTTTGCTTCAACATACTAGTAGCATAATTGTAAGTCCCCAACTCGGGACAAGTCCTAATTTCACTGTGCAAGTTCCCCATCACTGCATCACCGAAATATAAACTTTTCGTCAGCTTGAGTTGAGCCAATTTTAACGATGCCATACTGTCCTCAGTTGAGCAATGGCCACCTTTTCCTTCCTGAATTCTCTCAGAAAGAAATTCCTCTGTCAGAGTTTTGAGTTTAGTTTTCCGCACGCGGTCACCAGTTATATTATAAATAACGCTGAAAAAAATTATTGACCATAACAAATTTAAATCGAATTGCATTTTGATACCTAGTATCGATTACATAAGGGTGCATCATTTTCAGAGCATGTAAATCGTTTCCTAAAGACTGACCAACCAAAATAGCATCAGCAGGCAATATTCTTCTAAGATCTTCTTGCACGTCTTGTAATCTAGTTGTAATATTTTTCATCATTTTGTACGTAATGCCAGAAAATCGAGTCAAATAATCAGTAATTCTATTCTCTGGCTTGACCAAAGTGTCATAAAACGTGTTTAAGTCTTCATCTACTACTGACACTCTAGTTAATTCGAGGTCTCCAATAGTGGTTTTACACATTTCGCAATCAATGCCAAACATCTTACTGTGTGGAGTTACGTCTTCATATCTGTCTTTAGTCAAGACATAGCCGGCGTATTTATTCTCCATAAGGCCCTTGATTGGTAATGGAAAATTCTCTTCAACCATTTGCCACCCTGAGAGCAATAACTGAGTCCTAGGAAACCGATCTGTGGGTGGCAAGTCAGGATATAATTGGTTCTTCCCCTCTTTATCTTTCTCAATAGGAAAAAGACTACGCACTGTATCAAAAACTTCCGAACTTTTGTGCACCGCTTCTTCCAAAGTCCCATACTGAGTACAAAACTTCTTCACTTGTGTCCCGGTTAAAGGCACCATTGACAACTCCCTAACAACATCGCTATTACTAGAGTTTGGGGCCAATATCTCGAGCTTATGTTCAAAAGTTGAACTCACAAATGGGAACATATTACCATGCGCCATGTAGTGGTATAAAGTCATGTTTTCTACCACCAGAACGCAAGTAGTCGCCAGTCTGTTAAATTTCTCTAAAGCACACCATCTCGCGGGAGAATACGGTGAATGGTGTCCAAGTTGTGAGTACATAATTAAGTGTTGCAAGTCTGCGAGAAATAAAGGGACCCGATTTTCGAGATCTGTTGCTAAACTGGCATTTATCCCCACGTCGCGTAGCTTAAACACGGGTTGCTGACGCATTTTCGTGGTCTTCTCTCGCAACATCTTTTTCAATTCTTGTAGTTCCAAGCCACTAAGTTTAGGTTTCCCTGAAGGCCCCAGTTCTGGCACACACACTTTTTGGTCAATGCTGTCTCTAAAAATGTATAATTACTTTAATTAAATAGTTTGGGGGTAGTTTACCCAATGGGAGCTTCCGTTCTTGGCTTTTTGACACTTGGTTCAAGCTCTGAACAATTTGAGCCATTTGCTTCACTTATTTGCGTTTTCTTCAAATTTCGGTCGTATTCATTAAGTCTGGAGATTTCTATCAACGCTGCCATTTTCTTCTTCTTATTCTCGATGCGTTTTGTTGATTTACTTTTCATTTTGAAAAGAGTGTCACCGTCAGGTATCTTCTTTAGGCTGTAAATTTAAATGAATCTTAGAAATTATATCAGGGGTTAATGTGGAATTACCAAAATTTTGTAAAACAAAAATAAAAAGTTTGTATCGTGTGCGAAAGTTTACGCAATAAAAATTTTATACTTGATGGCAACATTTGAGGTTATAACAAAATAAAACAAACGAGGATTTCTCACCTGACACATTGATCCAAAAACTACTTCAAAATATTTCAGTTTATTATTACACAAAACCCAAAATCGCGTGAAATCTTTACTTAAATTAATTTACAAAAAAATGATATCAGACACATGCTAAGAAGTTTTGACATTCGAAAAAACACATGTTTCAAAAACTGGCAGTGACTAAAGTTACAATTGTATAAATCCGACAAAAATCACTTGAGACAATCACATAAAATTAGTTTGACTGATTTTCTTTTGTATAATTATTTTAAAGACCCAACAATACATTAAAAACAACAAATCTTAAATTGTTTCTTTTATTTCGTAGCAAAAATATCTAATAAAATAGAATAGTGTGGCAACACTGGTCAGCTGTCACCCGTTAAGTGTCAAGCTGAAGTTAAACAATTTTGTTTATATTATTCCCTTGCAAAATGGATAAACCAGACCTCCCCTTCATGCTGAAAAATTCGAATAAGAATTTTATGGAGCGACAAAAAAGCATTTTTGATCAGTTGAGCACCTTAAAATGCAACCTACAGAAAGACGAAGAAATGGAAGTGGAGGAGGCCCCCAGACTCTCTAACAGGACAAACCGGTCAGTAATGAAGCAGTTTCGGGGTAAAGAAAGCATCTTCAAACGTCCACAAGACCCCGTTTCCAAAAATTACATGAGGACAATTCCTGACTTCAAAAAGAATCCTCACAAGTGGACGAAATACTCTTTAGCTGATGTGAAAGATGAAGACATGTCTGATCGAAGTAATACTAAAGCGGCTCTTTCATTCTTAAATGAATTGAAAAATAGGAGTAACGAAAGCATGGTGACTGATAAAACTGAAGAGATACAGAAAATTGTTTTTAAGAAAGTCCACACTACTGTTAAAGATAATTTGAAGAATGAAGACGAGAAACCTAGTTTTAGAAGTTCAAAAGTTGTGATGCCAGAATATGTCGTTGGGCAGAAAGTCAAGAAAGATAAGAAAAATAAGAAAATTCAAAATAGTAGTGGTGGACAGTTAAAACTGGATCATTTGCTTGATGATGAATAGATTAAGTTATATAAGAGAAATAAAATTAATATACACATAATAAAACATTTTTCATTTCAATATCATATTTTTGGTTGATTGTGGTCTCATAATGAAGCTATATTAATCATCGTCGGATAATTTAAATACAAATTTTCAAAATTTGATTATGTTTACAGTACTAAAGAAAATATCGTATTTGACACACACCTACATAATGATAAATTTTATGCTCGCAATCGCGAATTATAGTTAGGCACATTATACGATACATTTTTTTGTAGATCTATTATTGTTTCAACTCATCTTTTATTTTACTTTACTGGTTCCACAATTTTAAAAATAAATTAAAAGGTGTACCTAATATACAGGCTGTCCCAACGGTCCGAAAAAGCTCTATAACTTGTTTATTTTAAGAGTTATTGACTTTTTCTTTTTTTTTAGATTATAGCTGCGTTTTTGATGCACATTTTAAAAATATTGCGGTTTATATACAGGGTGTCTCAATATTAAAAAAAACAGTAAAGTTATGTTTTTTTAAATGGAATCTACTCAGTTTGATTTTATTTTTGGATTCTACGCTAAATTACAAATAACTTTTATAGAGGTTGTTTTCATTTATCTGTTATCAATTTTGATTTGTGGCGCTTTTTTACCAGAATTTTTGAAATGCAGGGGTCTGTCTAAAAATTCGTAACTTCTAAATGCTTGCACACAACTTAAATTAAGTAATGCCGTTTGATTCCTGAAGGTTTGCCGCATCTTTTAAGTGTTTACTCAACAACCTGCTCAGTGGCATGTGCCTACTGCGATTTTTTAAACATGACTAATTAAAAATGTCAAAAACTCATTTTTTTCAAATAGCACCTACTATTTATTATTGCACCAATCAAAAGATCTTTTGACAAGCTTTCCATCAATATATTGTTTAGTCTAGTGTAAAATTCTAAGTTGCTATCCTAAATTAACTAAATTTCGGACCGTTGGGACAGCCTGTATGTATTTGAAGGTATTTAAGCACAATTTAATAAATTTAAATGATTTGAAAAAATGAAGGACATTCAACGGAGTTCAAAAGTTCAGATGAGAAAAAGTTGTTTGAGCCTTTTTTCACCAGATATATAGCTCTTCAAAGGTTAAATTTTATAATAAGTAATAAATAATATAATAATAAATACAGAGTGATTATGATTCATATAATGTTATATTATTCATATAATTCTAGGAGGGTAAAACCCAAAATACAATATTCACAATTAAAAGTCAGAATTTATGTAGTCATATTTTGGGACATCCTTTTCCAAATATCAATCCGACAATCAGTTTGTGTTTGAGTTTTTCTACAATGAGTAATGTATTGTTGGTTGCTGTCATAGTTCATGAATCACTATATTATACACTATACATACACCTCGTACCATTTCAATCGCCACATTAGTAACGTCGCAACTGTGTTTTTGAGATTAAATAAGTCACAAATATTTGATTTGTGTGTAAAACAAGAATCTGTGTAACTACTGGTACCCACTGACAAATTTAAAGTCACAACACTCTACTATGTACAGGGTGCTGCATTTTGGATGTCCGAATAGGGAATCTCCGAATCTAAGATGTTTAGCCAAAAACGAGTGATACATTCTGGGGCTAATTTTTTGAGAAAATAATATTGGTTAAAACCGCACCCCGCTAACGCCTTTTGTTTTCGACTTACAGACAAAAGTTGACTTTTTGGCGAAATCTAAAAAAATTCATATCTTCGTTATTATAGAAGATACGGATTTGAAATAAAGACATTATACAGGCACTTTATTTCGAGGAATTTAATAATGTAGTTAACAATTTTTTTCAGTTATTAGTTTATCCGTAATAAGATAAACTTGTATTTTTTTAAATGGAAATCATAGGCGTCTATGGCAATTTTGAAAAGCTTATTTTTTTCTGATCTAAAAAATATATATTTGTAACAGAATATTTTTTTATAACTATAGGTATTTAAACTCTTGTTTGATATTTTGTTTGATAATAGTTGGCCATGGAAAAACTATTTCACTCCAAATGTGTAAATAATAATCAATAAGAGTTTTATGAACTGTAAAATAGATGAAAAAATAGATACAATTATAAAAAAATTAAAAAATACGATACGGTAGAAGCATTGCGAGCGCCTCAGAAAAAATTATTACATATTTTTAAAAATCCAAAAATAGGAAAAATAAATGTGTCAACAGTCAACACAATTAGAAAAAACATTTTTTTGATGATCTAACGGAGGTAGGATAACGTTTCACAAAGACGGAATTTGGGTATTTGAATAGCCATATCGTCATTTTTGTGTCATATAAAATATATTTTATTGAAGAATTAAAGCGGCTTTTTTTACAACACTCTATGTATCACTAGAAGTTGCAATGGTAATGTTAGCTCGTTTAAAAACAAAGAAATGTTATTAGTCGCCAATAAGTTGATTTACAATTTATTTTGCATTTTTTTCATTACTTAGTACCTACTTAGAAAACTCTTTCATTAGTGATACTGGTTAAATACATATAATATAGTTTAAATCCTTTTAGTTGAAGATGCAACATTTTTTCATGGACAACTGCGAACAAAAATCAAAGATAATTTTTTGCTAAAAATGTATTATAATAATTTGTTACAAATATATATTTTTTAGATAAGAAAAAAACAAGCGTTTTAAAAATGACATAGCCATCTATGATTCCCATTAAAAAAATACAAGTTTATTTTATTACGGCTAAACCAATAACTGAAAAAATAATGTTAACTACATTATTAAATTCTACGTAAAAAAAGTGCCTCTATAATGTCTTTATTTCGAATCTTCTATAATAACGAAGACATGAATTTTTTTAGATTTCGCTAAAATGTCAATTTTTGTCTATAAGTCGAAAACAAAAGACGATAGTGGGATGCGGTTTTAACTAATATTATTTTCTCAAAAAATGAGCCGCAGAATGTATTACTCGTTTTTGGCTAAACCTCTTAGTTTCGGAGATTCCCTATTCGGACATCCAAAATGCAGCACCCTGTACAGAAAATAAAACGTTATGAAAAGTGGCAGAATTGCGATTGAAATAGTACGACATATCTATACTTATAATAATCATGACTTTTTATGCATATGGAGAACTCAACGAGATATATTACGATAGAATTCGCCTGTCTGATTCGGGCGGAAATAAATGCTGTATAATCCAATATTCAGAAAATATTTGGATTTCTTTAAATAGATAACAGTTTTATTTTATTTCAATTGTTTGTTTGTCATGTTCTTATTCCATATAGATACTGTCTGGTATTAAATTTAGTGTACATAATTAGAGTTATTCCTTGAATAAATCATTATCATTATCATTTACTTTTAAATCAAGTTCAATAATTGAGCAGTACCTAAATAAAACAAATTTGAAAAAGTAGGTATAAACATAAAAATTACCAAAACATGGTTGAATTAAGTCATAATTAATATTAGAAGAGTAAAAAATCTAAAAAATCAAATCTGCTACTCTGCTTTGTTTCGTTTTGGGTTTGGTGAAACAATAAGTATAAAATTTTATAATAATAATATAAATTATTCATAAATATATCGAGATCAAATCCTTGAAATTTTTTGATTATGAAGGAAGATAAGAATTTAGATGTTAAATCATCCAAAAAACATTTGTAATCTCTTATAAGTATACATATTTTATCTGAAACTAGGGTATTTGTAATTACAAATTCAAATGGGCGTAAATTGTGAACTCTATCTTTCTCAGTGTAAAAGGTGTTTTTAACCCATATTATTTAGTTTTAACGAGAAACGAATTTCGATACCTATAGACTAAATTTTTACAGAAGGTCAAGTGAATTTGTTTAAAAAATTTTGCTTAATTAGACTGTATAATAATATTGATTTAAAAAACATGTACTATAAATCCTATTTCAAACCTTTGATTTTTTAAATAAAGTTCGAATGATAAACAAAACGAGTTATCAATATTTATGGTGGACTATGATATTTCATTAGACAATACGAATTTATAATGGAATTAAACAAACCGGATTTTAGTGAAATACCCTAAATAATGCAAAAAAATAAATAACAGGTTGGCTTAAAATGAGTGTAATATGCCAAGCCAAAAAACGATATTTTTCTTGTATTACAAAAATTCAGCAGTTATTGTATTATACTCGTACCAAAAGCATGTCAATCCAGGAAAAATGCATTTTTCTATTTAACAGATCTGCTCTAAGTGATTAATCACACTAAAACAAAGTAAGCGACTGTAAAATTTGGAATGAGCAAATACCCTCTTTGGAACATTTACATTTACGTAAAAAATTAATAAACTAAGAATCATGCTGGTCATGTGTTTTATCTTTTATCAATTTGTTAGCAAGTTGCTGCATTTCGAAACTAAGACACTTAAACAACGCTGTCAAGTTCGTAGAGCTCCGTCAGTCTTTCGGCGTTTTGTTCGCAAGCAGGTTGATAATCCTGCCGCCTCCTCGTGCGCGCCATCAGCCTTGTCAAACTTTGAAAAATTGGAACGTTTCCCATTATCAATATTGTGTAAACAAACTACATATCACGATAGTAATTAAATTTGTTTTTTTTTCACCGGTTATCTAATAATGGAAGAATAGTGTTGGCTTGTGTACAACTGAAGCGATATGAATATGAAAAAGTATTAATTGTTTTGGCGGTGATTTTAATTAGTGTTAGGAACCAAAATGGTATGCATTCAAATTCGGTTTAGTAAATAACAGCTATATGAATCAAGCCACAGACAATCTAGTGATTATTTTATAAGTGGCTAATTCGCCACAACAGGAGAACGCCTTCGAATTATTTCTTTACGTCATCGGGCTTCCGGCGAGGGTAAGCCATCTTAACTTTTAAATTGAACTTATTATTTATAATGGATACAATTTGGTCTGGAAGCAATTGTTTTTAAACATGCCTTTGTGCACTTCCATCTAACCATCTTTAACAATCCTTCTTTTTATTTTTACATTCCAAACAGGAATATTAAAATTGTTATAAATCTTTGCCGCTACATTTTTATGAGCTTATGTATAATTAATTTAGCAAACATCAACAGTAATAACAAGGTGAATAATTTTTGGCGCTCTCTTTTCTTCTCCTAATACACTTAGATTAGTAGCATTAGTAGCATTTTGAGTGTTAACACAAAAGTAAAATAACCCAGTACATAGTTTAAAAACAACAAATAATTGTTTATAAGAATAAGACCTTACACTTCTATATTTTGCTTTTATCTGCAATAAGGATTATTAATTACAATATTTTTTTATTTGGGAGTCACGCCATAATCCTTAGACAATAATAGCATAATGATAAGAAGTAATATTTAAATAAACTTTAGTGAGAACAGTTAACTTTAATAATATGTAGGAAAAGTACTATATTAATAATGGTTATTGTGTTAATGAAGAAGAAAAAAAAAAGAAAAAATGATACTACTAGACCAAACAGAATTATATTTGCTTAATTTTACACACTTCGAATTGAAATTAATTTAAAAATGACCATGGGGAACTGTTCTATAACAAAAACGTAAATTAGAGGATTGTTATTGTTATCGTAATAATAAAAAATGGTACTCTTAATAGGTTCACTGATCAGTGACAACACAGATAACAAATCTAGTTGATGATGATTTGACACTTATCTTAATTAAATGTTACGTGCTATTTCCAAAAATCTAGGTGTCGAAAATTACATATGTGTACCTTCTTATTGCAAAATATGGATATTAGTGTTTATAGTAAACCGAATCTCCAGTAATAAAATCTGTAATATTTTTTATACATACATACAGGCTGCGTCAGAACTCGCGCCCCAGAGAAAATTTTCAAGTAAGGTAAGATACCAGGAACATGAAAAAAATGTTTAAAAAAATCTATCTGTCAAAAAATTTTAACATTTATTTTTGACATTTAACCTTTTTTTATATCTATTTAAGGATACTGATGATCTTGTATATGTCTTTTTACAATTATTTAGTAAAGGGACAAAAATTTTGCGAATAAAAGCCACAAATAACATTGAACAGAGTTACAATTTAGGATACAGCTTCCTTGTTTCCTCTTTTAATAGCCTATAACAAAAAAACTTGGAAAATTATATTTCCAACAGAAATAAATAGAATCAAAGTGCAAACTTTAAACCCTCATAACTTCGAAATTTTTATAGATAAAATTTTTTTAACATTTTTTCCATGTTCCTGGTATCTTACCTTATATGGCATTTTTTTCTGGGGCGCGAGTTCTGGCGCATCCTGTATATTACGATGAAACTGATTTGAATAAATGAATGAATAAAGGATATCAAATATTAAACAGTTTTTTTTTTTCATAAATAAGTCTTGAAATATAATATTTTGTTTGATGGAAAACAAATAAATTTGAAACGAATTAAATGCGGTTTACCACATACCTAATCAATTTGGCCGTAAAATATACCTATGATAAAGTATGTAGTTTAATATTTTTATTTCAATAAAACAATAACAGAATGGCCTTGATTATTTCTCTTTAGCTCATAAAATTCACAAAATGAAACAAAAAGCAAAAATTAGGAAATGGCTTCTAACAAGCTAAATCAACTAATTTGCTAGAAATGAATCAAAAAGATAACTCACTTCCAAAAATTTTAACAAATTAAGTTGTTAAGTTTCATTTACGAGTATGTTCCTAGAAACTAAAGTTAGCCTCATTGTAGCTCAATTTTAATCAAACCATAAAAAATTAAAAATCACAAACGGGTTTTTGTTTTATAAAACAGGTATTTATAAATAAAATTTTTTTCTTTTAAATTTACTAAGTAGATGAAAGATTTTTGTTCAAACAGATAATACAACATATTCATTATGTTGTTCCCAGTAGGTCATGTAGGATGAGAACTAATACAAATTACAAATATCAAATCACGCCTTTAAATCAACATTAGATTGCACGTATATGTATTGTACTAGTAGTTTAACAAGCTGATGATAATGATAAGGTTAAATAGGAATCCATATTTTGACGAAGGTTAGTTAGATGTAAAGTTTTACTAAAAAAAATAGAATAGGTACGTTTTAGGTGGTTTTAGTAATAGATGTGGAAAGGGATTTTTGTTTACTATAAACAGCAATTTTTTTGTAGACAGTAGAAGTGATCTATTGCAAAAAATTGCTTTCTAAAATGATTAAACTTTTCAATTTTATTGGTGGTATACACTGGCCGCCAAAATTAACCGGACATCTGAAATTTTGCGATTTTTTACATTGCAATATTTTTGTTATTCTTCGTCGGATTTCGACGAATTTTTGTTCGGCTTAAAAAATGAACTTTGCAGAATATTGTAATTTAATTCAATAGCATTTCTAGTTTTGTCTTGTAAATGTTATACCTAAAAGGCGAGAGCACTGTGATTTACTTTTTTTATACTGAGCTGAAGTGTGCAACAGAGACGAAATTAAGTTTTTACTTATTTCGGATTATTGCCCGTTCCTTTCTGAACGAGAACCAATTTGTTTCAAAATTTTATATTTTGGTACTTCCGAGATACAAAGCATTAAAAAGATGTTGCTTTTCTAATGTTACTAAATATTCGTTCAGAAAGGCGGCTACATAAAAGGTAGTAATCGAAAATCATTGCTTATATGACCAAAAGAGCACAATTACGTCTTCAAAGGATTACAACAAGTAAAACGGTTAATTATTGGAAGCTTCCATGCGCCTATTTTGACGTTTTGGCACATTTGGGCTACTTAATACGAAATTGGAAATGTAATGCTTTTTATGAAGGTTTATATCTCATGTCTCAAGAATTAAAATTATGGAAAATGTGGTACATAATTCAAAAAAGAATGGGCAATAGTCTGAAATCAGTAAAAACTTTTAAGTTTGTCTCTGTCGCACACCACAGCTCAGTATAAAAAAAGTAAAAAAAATAGTGCTCTCGTCTTTTTAGATATAAGATTTACAAGACAAAACTAGAAATGTGATTGAATTAAGTTACAATGATACAATGTTCTGCAAAGTTCATTCTTTAATCCAAACAAAAATTCGTTGAAATCCGACAAAGAATAACAAAAATATTGCAATGTGAAAAATCGCAAAATTTTAGGTGTCCGGTTAATTTTGGCGGCCAGTGTGTAATGGTCGTATTTAATTAAAAACACTATCAGACCATTTACGAATTTCTTGGTGGTCAAATCTCAAAAATTTAAATGAAAAATCAAAATCGTAAAAAAAATTCCTATAATTCTGTTTTTTTTTTTTATAGTAAACAAATCTTTCTCCTTTATTTCAAATCTGGGAATCCTTTGTTTTAGGCAAAATGTGGCTCTATTTAATCAACTTCAGCGTAGTTCTTATAGTCGTATTGGGTCGTTTAGATCGTGATATCGGACATCCTTGTCCAGGACCTCCCGATAAAGGTCCTTGCAACAGAGCCCTTTACAAATGGGCTTACGACCACGATAAAAATAAATGCGTATTATTTGCATGGGGAGGCTGTGCTGGTAATAATAAAAATAGGTTTAATACAGAAATACAGTGTATACGAAAATGTATTTCATTAAAATGTAAGTAAATTTGAAATTGTAAGAAACAAAATCAAAGATATTTCAAGACCGTTCCTTCATCTCTGGGAATTACACAGTACCAAAAGAAAAACGTGGACCCGAATTGACTTTCCAGGAAACGGGAAACGAGAACACGTTTATGTTTGCCCAATCGAACACTTTTATTCAAATCGACGGGGATATTATCCAAACTTTTCAATTAAGGTTCATTCACCCACCGAACATTCAATCAAAGTTAATAGAAAAATTGTAGGCTGTGTCGACAAATTTCTTTCCAGTTTAGAACTAGACTTCCACATGGGCTTTTAGTCTATCACAATGTTAAAGTCCCAGCGGGAGTTTCTCTACAACCTTATGCTTTATACATCATTGTGGAACAAGGCCAACTTAAAGTTGTCCACGTCTATGGGAAACATCTAACAGCACTGACTGTTGGAAGAGGGCTTAACAGAGACGAGTGGCATTCGGTGACTGTACGAATTCGTTATTTCTCTCTGAAGAAATAGTCCACGAATTATTTTAGGTCAGAATAGACGTACATGGGGCTCGTTTGATGGCCACTGTTGACGACCAGAAGGAAGAGACTAATCTTCGAGGTCTCGACAAAGAAAATAACTATGGAGTCTCTGCAAACGTTACCTCGGTGATACTTATCGGTGGACTGAGTTCAGAGGAACGTTTGCATGGTGTTAAATACATAATTGAGTCATTTGTTGGGTGTATTAAAGACGTAGTCCTCAGCACAGGCAAATCAGCATCTGATCTTTTGACGATAAGTCCTCTAATTGCAACCAAACACGAAAACGTACAAGAAGGTTGCATCGATAAGTGCAAAACGACCGAAAATTTGTGCTTTAGGGGGTCTCGATGTATAAATCACTACAACTCGTTGACGTGTGACTGCTTTGGGACTCTGTACGAAGGAGAGTTTTGTGATATTTACGGTACATCAGTCTAACACTTCTCGCATTTGAAATCCGAAAATCTGGAGAAAATTGCATTTTATCGAAAAGAGGTATTTTGGGTACAAATTTGATACAAACTTGTGTTTTTTCAAGAAATCCTCGAAATTTAAAATGGGAAATAATGCGAATTTCACATTTTTGGGTTCACTTCTTGAAAAAAATATTTTGGGAAAAACCATTCCTGTTGTGTAGCAGGAAAATCTGATAATCTCTAACGCATACGAGTATGAGTACAGCTATTACATAATTTTCAGCTCATATCTTATTTTTTAGCAATTAAGTTTCTGAAATAACACGTAAAATTGGTTTCACAAAAAGAAGAAAACAGCTCCTTTAGTAATGATTAGTAAAACTATTGTTATTTGGTAAATAACAATCAATTACTCTAGTTTACAAATAATAACACCTTTTATCAAATTAGTATTTTTATGTTTATTTATCTTTAATTAAACAAAAATAATTGTTAATTTTTTTATCACGTCACAGTTTTTTGTTAGGAACGATGACTTTCCTGCTTTCTGCACAAATGCCTCCGATTTAAAATTTATTTAATATTCAAATTGTTGCTGAATTATTGCAAAATTATCACCAGATGGGTCTAAATGGGTCTTAAAATACATTCCATTGACTCGTATTTGGATTTCTTTTCTTTCAACTTAGGTAGCATGAGTGACGAACAGGACGAGCGCTTTTATCGAAAAGTTTTCAAAAATCGCCACAAAAGTTTTTGGAATGAAAATACGTTAGGAGATTACTGTTGGACTGTTATAAAAAAAACTTATCTAAAAAAGTAGAAAAACTAAAGTAAAATAATTCAATAATTCAATTTTAATTTGTTGTTTGGCGATTTTTGTATTTTTGTTAATTACGTATTTCTTAAACGTGACATGGTAGACTTTTTTAAATAACTTTTTGAACTGAGTGCATTAAAATCTACAAAAAATTATAACTTTCAGTATAGAAATCGTGGAAACTAGTGCTTATTATTTTTAAAAACTTTATACTTTTATTACTTTCGTATTTTTTCTAATTTGTACCCAAAATAAATCAGTGAAATTTTTTGAGGTGTTTGGATTTCAATTGCGAGTACGAATTGATTTACTAATTTTGTGAAAAATTCATTATAGCTGCCACAGTATTAACGCTTCGAGGATCATCCTACGTTTCCTACAGAGTGTACGACTGGAAAGACCGAGTTCACTCCTCAATAAACCGTTTCTCAATGTTATTCAAGACCCGATTTGATGACTCTGCCTTATTTTACGCCGCGGGGGGCGAACACGAACGTATTGATCACTACATTGCTGCCTCAATTTACAACAACTCGGTTTACATAGAGTTGGATTTTGGTGCCCAAACCATGTCCCAAACCCTTGGCCAAAATGACGATTTCCAGCTAAACCAATGGAACAACTTGACTATATTCCACGACCATGACAAAATCCTTTTAAGCCTCAACCAGGAGAAAGTCTGGTTGAACCTCACTGGTTCCCCCATGTTGTACATAGACCCCGAGATATACATCGGGGGAGGCCCCGAACTCCAGAAGAAAACTGGGCTAAAATCGAAAAACAATTTCGTCGGAGGCCTCAAATACGTCTTTTTTAACGACATTTCCATCATCTACGAACTCAACAAAAACAATCCTAAAGTGCACTACATTGGTATTTTGCGACCGGAATATGAAGAAATCGATGTTACAGAAATCCCAATCACTTTTCCCTTCACTTCGTCGCACATCTGGTGGCTTAACAACTACATCAACAACTTGTTCCTCACATTCAATTTCAAAAGTAGCAGCAATTTGAGCGTTTTGGCCTCGAGTGAAACCACAACCAAACTCTACTGGGAGGTCCGTGTAGTCAACGACGAAGTCAGATTCGAGTTGACAAACATGGCCAAAAACACCACGCATTTAATAAGTGTGAAAAAGACGCCGAAAATTTGGCATTTTCTCAACTTGACATATTTCAACGGCGAGGTCATTTTGCGAGTTGACGACAAGGAGAAACAGGAGAAGATTGAAGACTTGAAATTCGCAGTCGGGGATAAAATTAAGGTCGGGAGTGGCTCCAGGTCCAATTCTGGACTTGTAGGGTGCATGAGAGACATTATAGTCAATGGGGCGAGTTTGGAACCCCGATCTGTGTTACAGTCGGAAAGAGTTGTAGGTGAAGTGACTTTGGATGACTGCAAGTTTGTCGACCCGTGTTTGCGACCAAATACGTGCGAACACGGAGGGAAATGCTCAGTTAAAGAAGACAAACTTATTTGCGACTGCACTGACAGTGGATACACTGGGAAAAATTGTCATTTTGCAAAATACAGGAAAACTTGCGAGGAACTTGCTTTACTAGGTGAAAATTTGCTGTTTTGAATGTCTCACTTTTGGTGTTTTACAGGATACACAAAACCTGACGTTTATTTAATTGATATTGACGGTAATGGGAAGTTTCCTCCAGCTCACGTCCGGTGTGAATTCCAAAGTATCGAAGAATCAACCAAAACAATAGTGGAACACAATCTTCCAAGCCAAATTGATGTGAGATCCCCCTCTGAGAGCGATTTCAGTTTCACTATCAAATACCGAGAGTTTACTCCTAATATGCTACAAGAGCTGGTATCCCACTCGTTGAATTGTAGCCAATATATTAGATACGATTGTTTCAAAGCACCCCTAGGGTTGCACTCCGCTACCTGGTTTATAAGTTCAGCAAACGAAACTGTTGATTTTATCGGAGATGTTAAAAGGTTGGTTGCTTCACTTTTAATCAAACCATTTTTAAGGCGATTTCAGAGGAACGTGTCCTTGTTCCATAGGAAAAAAATGTGAAAACCCTTCACAGTGGTGCAACTGTGATGACGCTGCTGACGACAAGTGGAACTCAGATGATGGGTATTACACGACAGCAAAAAGTCTTGGGATAACCCAAATGGTGTTTTTGCAACCACCAGATTTACCAAATGAGGCCCTCGGAAGGGTAACTTTAGGGCCGTTGGAGTGTGTTGAAACTAGTTTGTTGGAGTGATTTGTGGTGCAGGCGAAATTGTATAATTAAGGCATGTTTTAGACACTCAAAGGTATGTGGTTACCTTTACTACAAGTCAGTCGTATATTGAGGTGCCAGGGTGGAGGAAAGGGGACTTGGCTTTCTCGTTTAGGACCACTGGAAAAAAGGCCATTTTGTTGTATCAGCCACCAATAAGGCCCAATTATCCCAGTTTTATGATTGCTTTAACTAGCGGTAAGAAATTATTATTTTTTAACTATTGCTTTTTATTAAATAACCTTATTTTATTATGGTTACAATTTTTAAAACCACTTTAGACAATAGTGGAAATAATATAATGTATTCTTTTATAGATTTTCAGTTGACATTTAATTTCACTTTAAACACTGGAGTTTCAAAGGAGTTGGTGATCATTTCTGACCGGAAATTAAACGGTGGGGAGTGGCACAAATTATGGATTGATTACAATAAATATCATGTGCGACTTATGATCAATGAGGATCAAAAAATGGATGATTTGAAACCGGAAGAAGAGTTTGGGCCGTTTGAAGGATCGATGTTTATCGGGGGCGCACCAACGTACTTTTTTATTATTTTTCCAGTTTAAAAATATGTGACTGTAAATGATTTTAGCAATTTACTAGATCCTAAAACTTCGGTGCATCAGGGGTTAATAGGTTGTTTTAGAGGCCTTGTCGTGAATGAAGAAATTCTGGATATTTATAGCTACATGAGTGTACATTTGAGTGAAATTATTAAAGATTGCAAGCCTTCTTGTGTGCCGAACCCGTGTCAAAATGGAGCTCAATGTAAAGAGTTGTGGAGCACTTTTGAATGCATTTGCCCTAATCCGTGGGCGTATAAAGGCATTTATTGTGAAACAAGTGAGTTAAGAGAAGTAGCAATCAATTTTTTTTCTTTTTAACAAAGTTGTTATGAAAAATAATCGTTGATTAATGATCACAGTTTTAATAAGGCGCAATAAGGACACAGTAAGTCGACAAGTAAACATATATTGCTATAAATTATTCTTTTAAACCGCAATTACTAGAATAAACATATCACTTCCACAATTTACAATTTGACAAACTTCTACAAATATTTTCTTTTCATTTGCGTAGATTTTTACAGCTTACAAACATTAGTTTCAGTTAAAACTGCACTTCTATCTTTCAAACAAAAAATATGTGGAACGGAAAAATCATATTTTCAATTATTCATACAAAAATTGTTAGTAAAAATAAATCTGAATAGGTGAAAATTATATACCTCACCTTATTACCTCACCTGTTATTTGTTAATAATTTGCACGTGCTTGGACCTTGTTCAAGACAAATTATATAAATTATTTTAAATTTAATGCGTACTTTAATATTACAATAATTGTTTTTACAAATTAGGGAAAGAAAAAAGATATCTTTCTGTGCCCATTGTTGCAATAATTTCAAATATAATAATGTCCTCGTACCTTGAGTACTTAAATGATACTGATTTCCTGGCTTTCATACAGAGTGAATAAAATTAGGACGTCTCATCAAGAGTGCCAATTATTCGTTGATTAAATTTTTTTGTGCTATTTATGAAGAATGTCCACAGAATATAGGGGAACATTCCTTCCGAGACCACATGGAGGTCAAAAAATCTCAAAAGTTTTAAAATTTCAGTAACTAATAGTTTTTGAATCCAACCGAAATAAAGCTGTTTTAAATAAACAAACTAAAATCAGTCAAAAGACATCTCGTTTGAAATATGTGGTCGCAGGCAAAATAAAGAAAAATAACAAAAATGTGCTTATCATTTGAAAATTACACAATTTGTTCATTTATAAACTATATACCAAGTGAATAAAAAGTATGGAACCAAACGTTTTTTGCTTAAGCTATTTATTTTTTGAAAAAACTAATTGTTGAATGATAAAGTACTATAAAAATGTGATGATTTAACAAGAATAAAATTTTTCGAAGTTTCCTTTTGTTTTTGAGTTCTACAAAAAAAATATTTTTTTAAATGGCAACCCACTATAAAATCATTTTTCTCATAAAAGCTATACTCTAAGGATTACAACTATCTGCTTTATATTTAATTTTTTCAAAAAAATTTTTTCACATAAATTGCAAATTTGACAAAAAAAAATCGCATAACTCAAAAACAAATTTCATACGATCACATTTTTTATATTACTTTAATTTATATTAATTATTATTTTCTGGAGGCAAATGATTAAAAATAAAACCGCTTGGTTCCATACTTTATATTCACCCTGTATATTTTAGACATTGCATTATAATTATTGTATTATAATTATAATTTTTCAAAATTCTGCAAGTAACCTGAGTGAAAAATTTTACACTTAATTAAATTACGACTAAGACTGAGATTTGTAAAATGTTTTTTGCTTTATAAAATATTTTATATAAGTATTTTGAAATTCAATTAATTTTTTACGTGATTAAAATCATCCTGTAAGTATTCAAAAAATTGGCCTCTAGGCCAAGTTCCGTCATAGCACACAATAAAATAAGTTTCATCGTTATAATAATATAAATTGATTTTAGTTTAATCCACGGGCTTATTAAAAAAATATTTAAATGGTAAAATCGGCTAAAAGTAAACAAGTTTGAAAAAAAAAGGAAAAAATTCAAATTTATGTTTTTGAATGGATTTTGAAAGCACTTTTTAATATAATGACAGAAATTGTTCATAACAACGAAATAAAAGAAATAGATATCGATCAACAATCAAAAATGGTAGAAATTAAGCCAAAATTTCAGTTTATAGGTATCTGTTTTATCTTATTACAGCATTCACAAGAGTAAAAATTTGATTCACTCTGTGCAAAGCCCTATTTTCTTAAACCACTCAGAATCTTTACTTTACAGATGTTAATGTTAATGCGTTAACATTCACAAAACCGGAATCTTTTTTGCGACGCAATTACTTGGACACCAAAGACGAGAACGACAAAATCGCCTTAAAGAAAATATTCGAAGAACAAATCCTAATAAACCTTCGTACCTACGACGAATTAGCCTTGATTTTCTACGCTAACGACCATTTAAACAATTTCGTCCATTTATTCATTTGCAACGGGACTCAAGTTGTATTCTTATTCAACTTCGGAAGTGAAATTTATGACTTATCCGTCGAACATCCGGAGTTAAATTCAAGTAAATCGATACAAATTGCAATCCAACGCGAAGAAAACATGACCACAATGTACGTCAATGAGAACAACAACAGCATTTCGATCGGAGTCTCACTCTTGGAAACTTATTCAAATAAGCCTTGGATCAATCCCGAAAAAGGTATCAAGTTTGATGTAATTGAAGAAACAGTGGAAAAATTTTTCTTTCAGAGGTTTTGGCGCCGCAAAGGCCACCCGCGCCTCCCACCGAATATTTTCAATTAAATTTGGGCGGATATGACCCCGAAACATTGTTAAAAGTGTCGGAGGATCCTCCCATTTTGCCCGGATATGTGGGATGCATGAGAGGTTTTCAAATTGGCCAAACACTTATAGATCTTCCGTCTAAAGTTACGGAGGTCGACGAAGGTAATGGTCACGCTGTGATATTATTTTATAAAATATTTCGCATTAGGCGTCAAGGCTAATTGCAATATGAAATGTGATGCACTCCCCTGCAAACACGGAGGGATCTGCATTGAGAATTTCCGAAATCAGGAGCATTCCTGCGACTGCGAACACACCAGTTATTACGGGGAGTTTTGCTCAGATGAGAAGGGGGCAGATTTTAGCGGCGAGTCGATTTTGTGGAGGGAATATATCCTCAATGGGTCGGTGGACCACGTCAAAATACAGCTAGCTTTTTCTAGTATGGACATAAGACAGAAAAACACAGCTTTGTTGCTTTTGCAGACGGAGAACAAGTACGTTTATCGGATGCTTCCTGGGGGAAATTATAGCTTTTTTTCGTAGCCGAAGTTTTTATTTTTTGATAGGTTTGAGTCCTGAAGGGTATTTGATCATCCAAGAAGACAGGGAAGGAGCGGTTTTTGCAGCTGTTGTTCAACATAAAAGTTTCATTAACGGTGCGCGACACTCGGTTTATTATCGAAGAGACCACAACGAATCGGAGTTGTTAGTGGATAGAGAAGTGATAGAAATGCACCAAATTCCAGCCCAGACTTTCACAAATGTGCCAGAATTGGGGGCCAATGAGGTGCTAATTGGGGGGCATAACACCAATGATCCAAGGTTTGCGATATACAAAGGCTATAGTGGATGTCTGTCAAGTGAGTATACAAAAAATTTAAAAAATCTATTTTTTCTATTTTGCGTCTTGCTTTAATGAGCCATTTCAACACCAATTCTGGTGCCGAAATAGACTAGGTAGTACACTTTACTTCCTAGAGGTTGGTAATGGTGATTTTCAGCAGCTTTTTGAGTAATTTTTCTTATTTCAAATGATATGCATGAAATATTTGCAGTATTCATTGTTACTTTAACAAATTTTTGAAAAAACTCGAGACTTACCTATTGACACTTCGTAAATCGAATTTTTCAAACTTTGTGACATTTACCACCTTATTAGAGCAAAGGTTCCTAAATTTTGAAAAATCGACTTTTATGTTGAAAAAGAACGTAAAATGTGCAAATAGAAAAAATAACATATAAAACTTGTTTCATAAGTCATTTGTAGGAACTCGTTCAAAACGTGACTTTTTGTCTTACACTTGTGCTTAAAACTGAACTTTATTAAAATTTGTTAAAAATGGACATTTTTACGGTTTTTTTTTTACGAAAGTCCTTCTTCTTTTTAACTTATTAGATAAACTCCTTTTTTTAACGAACGAGAAATACTGGAAAAATAAATTTTTTGTCTGCTTAAAGAAGAAAGTACAAACTTTTTAGGGCTAAATTTTTTTTAAGAATTACAAGGAGATCCAATTTAAAAAAAAAGAAATATGAAGTTTGCTAAAAAAATTAAATGGATCACCAATTTTTTTATATCAACTGTCTATAAAATAAGAAAAAAGGAAATAAAACGTTTATAAATATAAGAGTCTAATTAAATTTTCGTAAAGTTTAACATTTAAAGATCAATAATATAAACGGCCTGTGTATAATCTTATTCACTGTAGATTTATTACTTGTTCACAACCTTTTAATTCTTTCCTGTCATTAGAATTAACGTAAAAAGCATTTACACCAATTATGTTTTACATAAATAAACTAATTGGTAGGCAATAAAAAGTATTGCTTATGTTATTTACAAGACCATTACCATTATCCAGTCATGTATTTTTTTAATTATTTTTTATAGACATATTTATTGAAGTTAATGAGCATGTAATGAAACCTTTAGAAGAATACATGCTGTTTACAAAAACTGGCTCCGAAAAGGTCAACGTTTCAAACCCGCACGGAGTTCGCAGTGCCCAATGTAGCCCCCATTTCGACGTTTTACACGAAAAAACGCCAGGAACCACCAATCTCAACATTAGCCAAGTACGTTATACACAAATCAAAAAGATACCATAAAAGGAATTGCAGGGTAAGGATAAAACATGGGTGGAAGACGCACCTCAAAGAGTTGTTTACACATCTGATGCATCTACTGCAACCGAACAAGAAGAAGGAATCGACAAAATCGTCGTAGTTGTCCTTTCTGTATTTTTTGTATTCATTATTATTTGTTGCATTTATGAGTTGTATCGCACGGACAAAGCCTACAAGAGGCGTAAAGAACTTGAAACTGATGCTAATATATTGTGGTCGAAGGAACAAGCTGCTAAAATGCAGGAAACTCCGTTCGTGCAGGTTGGTAATTTTTGGAAGTATCAATTTTTGTAAAATTTTGACTAGATGCCAGCGGAAACTGTAACAAAGCCGCCAACACAAAACGGAAAATTGCCAAACGAAATCTCAAACGGATCCACTAATAAGGATAATGAGACAATTGTGACAACTGCGGAAGTTACGCCAGTTTTAGAAGAGGTTCCCACGAAACCTTTGAAAAGACAAGACAGTAAAAGAGACAGAAGAATTAGTTTTAGAGGTACTGGTCGTTAAGAACTGTATAATTTATAACAAATATTTGTTTTATAGATAGTGCCAGTGAACTAGCATGGGACACGCCTGAGGAAAGTTCAGAACTCTTAAGCACTATGCACGAAGAAGACGAAGATGAACAAAACGGGAACTCTGATGAGTCAACGCACAAGTCCGTAAGTAATATCGAGGCAATGGCACCCTATAGCACCATAAGCGAAGTTACCTTAAATCTGGATACATAAGTGCTTGGCCAAAAATGTGATGCTGTTTACAAAATACAGTTTCATAAATCAAAAACAAGCCTTTCCATAAATCACACGCATGCCATTAACGCTTAAACTTGTGCACGTGAAATTCTGCATGGGATGGAGTTGAGCATCACTCTTTGTCTTTAAGTCGTAAATTATTGTCAGGTGCCTCTGACTCCACCAGTTAGGGCACGCATCAGAAGTCCACCTCCACACAGCAATCCATTAGCTACTCAATTACCATACATGATCGATGAAATGGGAAGTTTGGAATTCACGGGTACGTCTTCACCGGTGCTGGGTTAACCATCACGCTACATAATATCCCAACATTTTTTATTCAACTAATTTTGTGTAATTCGCTGACTGATTCATCTATGGCAAATATATACATTTTATTTCACGTTTGGTGTTTTCTTTGGCGACAGAGTTCTAACGGAAATCACAAAAGTGTTAACGATGTTAACGAAATTATTAGTGAAGAAGGTATTTTATGGTTTATCGCTTTTGAAAATTTTCTATCCTAATTTGTATTATAGCAAAAGCATCCCTGGAAAAGCTTCTCAGGTTTGGTAATGTCCCAAAACCCGTATTCCTGAACGATCACCAAAGAAAATTTGCTAACCCCATTAGTTACTTAGGAGGACCCAGAATGGCTCCACGAAACCGTTGGAGTGTAGAAAGTGTATTGTCCATAGATTAGTTGTAACAAATGCTAATTAATGTATTTACAAAGTAAAATAAAACCTCTTAACACGTTGAAATCCCTTTCACCAAGTGTATTTGCACGATTTTAAAGGCAAGTCAGATGTTCCAGTATAGAATAATTATTAGTAAGTTTATTTTCGCTTAATCAATAGATCAATACAAAAATGCATTCAAAATTTAATATAAAAAACAAAGTTTAAACTAAAATTACAAAAATAATATGCAACCAATAATACACAACAGCGTAATGATTTCATAAAAACTGGCAAACTGACAGGTAAATGTGACACGTGGGGTGGTTTATAGGTTATGTGTGTTTTTTACCCCTTGGAGTTTTACCAAAAATCGTTTAAAAATCTCGAACAAGAAAACTTGTGTATAACTAAACAATACATATTTTTCACTTAAAGTTCATTATTATACAAAAAACTTTCTTGTATACTTACCATTTTGTTGCGACATGGCGCAAGGTAAACTAAAGACAAAAACACAACTACCCAAAAATGTAAAAAACAAGAAAAGCGCTAAAAAAGGAAGTGCTATTACCAAGAGAGCAAGTGAGTAAAATACATTTCAATTCAATGTCTGTAAAGATTGATTTGTAATTGCATGTGTAGATCGTCCAATTCAGCCCAAAAAGAAAGGAGTTGCAGAAGCAAAGAAATTAAAGCAAATTGTTCATAAAAACGTCAATAAGGCAATAGAAGAGGAACTTCGTTCAAGAGCCTCCAATGAAAATAAATCATTATCTGCGGCCCAAAAGGCAGTCGTGGAATACCATAAGAAAAATGCAAGTGGGCCCTCTTAAAGTTTAAAAAATATTTTCAGTTTTATGTTGTAAGTATTATTATTTATTAAAAAATATGTAAAAAGAGATTTTGTCTTTTTATCAGAATTTGAAAAGGCTCACAGGTGCTTTACAATATTTTGTATGATATTTAGATACACAAAATAGTCACACATTTAAAATTTTAAGAAATCCAAATATTTAGAAGTAAATGTTTAAAAAAGTTCACCTCAAATTTGCATTTTAGTGAAATGCGACGAAACTGTTACGCTAATTTTTGAATTTGGATTAATTAATTACATACTTCCTCGTATTATTGTTCAATTTTAATTATAAGAGGGATTTTGACTTGAAAGAAAATAAAACTTCGCATATTGTTTGTATGTTTATATTATTAGTACTTAATTTAATATACTAAGGCCCACAATAAATATATGTAAACATGTATAATGAAAATGCAGCGTAAAGTTATAAGTACACAAGTATCTTTGTAATGGCACTTTTTACATAAATATGATTATTACTTCTATTTCACCAATTAAGGCACTGAATTCAGTATTGGTCTAAGAATTATGAAGAAGCCACCTACAATCACGATTTTAGTTTTACATTTGCAGAAACGAAATATTTCAAACTTACAATCAAATGACCGCTTTTATCTTTATGTATACTTTCAGAGTTCCCAACAATAACATCAATAGTTCCCCGTTTGCCTTGCTTCATGGAGTGTTGAATCCTGAAATAAATCATTCCATACCTTTGTTTACAAATCCTATCGCATTACTTACGGTGATTTATCAATAATGGTCAACAGAGCTGGATTATTTGTCACATTTATGATATAAGTTACAGTTTCGATTAAATGGGGAACTTCCAGAATTAAATCGCCTTTGTCTTTCTTCAACAAATCTTCCGGAATTCTCACCAGCAACATCTTATCATTATTTGGCGTCACGACAAAGTTCAGTTTGGACAAAGGCAAACAGTGCTTTTGTTTAGCCGATGAATTATTTTTCACTTCGATAACGTAGAAATTTTTGGTGGTAATCAAAACGACGCGTTGGCGAGGCTTGTAACCATGCCTGTCGTATTTCATGACTGTGGTAACATACTAGAAAGTTGGACAATATTTGTTTAGTACATTTTTGTGAAAAATAAATCAGACCTGTTCTCGCTCCCCATTTAAGACCTGAGCGTAGCTCTGTTTCGTCACACCGAATTCGGTCACTCGATCCGTCTTGAACCACTGAGAAACACTCGCTTGATAACTCTTCTTTTTATTTTTAAACAATTTTTCGGCGAGGACTTTAAGTCTCAGCTGCTCTTCTCTCTCTGGGGTTAACTTGAGTCGGTACACCCGAGACATGTGAGCCCCATAAAGGCGCTCCAAGTGTTGCGACGCTTCGATGCAGATATGTGGACATGGGGGCCACGTACGGTTCAGAATATCTCGGGGCAAGTTTTTCGACAGGCGTATCAACCACTGGGCTTTAGCCAACTCCAAAAACGCTTTGTTTTCCTCAGTTGCAGGTCCATTTCGTGTGATAAATCCTTTGATGAAGTTTCGCAAGACATTGGCGGCCCTTCTGCGCTTCCTAGCGCGACATTTTGCAATGAACATTCGCACATATTTTTGCATAATTATGGAAGCCTCTTTCATTTTTTTGTACTTTCGTCGTTGGACTAGACCTTTCCAAGCGGCTTGGATTATGGCAGCCAAGTCGTGTTTTTTAGCTTGGAAGGCGTCTTCGGTGTAGAAGAGGGTTTTGGGGTAGCGGATGAAAATTTTTGTTTTGCCCATTTTGTACTCGTCGGCTTCGTATCCAAGGGCACAGACTAGAATTTGGACACCATCTTTTGGGTTTCCGACGTATTTGGGCCAAGTTTGTTTTGATAGACATTTATACCTCTCGAGGAAAAGGCTGTATTCGCGTCGATAGGCAAAACCGGCTCGACGAACCCTTAAATTTTCCATAAGTCCCAAGTATGTCACTTGGTGCCGTACCAATTCCTCATCAAAGACTCCTAAAAGCGAGGATTTGAAGACAAAAATTCTTACTTTACCATAAAAATTACCAACCTGATCTTTTATCGCCGTTAGGTTTGATGCACCTAATATACGACGGTTCCTTATCCATCAAAATGTGCATTAAATTGTTTAGTGAATTTTTAAATTGAGTAATGGCAGTAATGGGGCGCCTTTTGCTTTGTTGTTCCTCTTTCAAGAAAACTGATTGGATAATATTGTTGGAAGATTTTGACATGGTTTCCCTCAAGTCGCGGAAGAGCAAGTCGTTGTTTTTCTCGAGGAAACCTTTAACATTGTACGTCACAGCACCAGCATAGTGAATTAAGCGGAATTCCTGAAATTAAATTTTGTTTTAATTAATTTACAATTAGATAAGCGATATTTACATCTCGGCCCATAATTTTTTGTAATTTAATGTCAGCTTTTTTATGGCTGATAAAGTGGTTGTGGTAACTCAAGTTCTTATCTAATTTATTTAACATTGTCATGTCGGAGGAATCCCCGGGTCGGAGGCACTCTTCGTCCATAAAAGCGATAAGCCCTTAAAATTACGTAAAAAGATGAAAATTTATAATTGTTATGCGAAAGCGTTGAAATTCTTGTAGAAAATTAGATATAACCGAATAATCATGAAAAAAAATTGATTTAAACATAATAAATGAAACCTAAAATATTTATTCTGACTGTAATCGAGGTTCAAATCAAGTAATTTTTCAGCGTAATTGACCTTGATCATCTCCAGCAATTTGAGACAGACATTATTTCGTAAAAGATTTATGGAAAGCACCGCTTATACCTTTATGTTTTTCCTCGATTAAATCGCAGATAACTTTATTATCAAAATACTCAACATTCTGCCACTCGATACCCTCTTTCAAATATTCCTCCTGTTCCGACTTGAGAGTCAATTCTATGAAAAGTTGTTGCAACTTTTCGTTACAGAAATTGATACACAGCTGCTCAAAACTTGAAAAAATTTATTAAAAATATTTGAAATTTGTCACCCAAACTTACCTGTTCTTTTCGAAAATTTCGAAGCCATAAATATCCAAAATGCCCATTACGCTGTAGGTCCTCTTGTCATGCGGTTTGAGGGAAGTGTTGAGTCTGTGGACCAGCCAAGTGAAAAGTCGATCATAGACCGCTTTTGCCAAAGCGTCACGTGCATAAATCGCCAATTCGCGGGTTAACGGAGTCGTTACGACGTCTCTAATTGTTTCAATTGTGCGATTTGTCAGGGCATTTTTCAAATCTTCGAGACTGCATCCAAGAAGCTACAAGACACTTTACTAAGAACCCCCCAGTTGGATTTTTACAAAAATTTTGTACCCTGCTGACAGTTTCGACGATTTCCGGTTTAATAATTGTGGAAACTCCGTTATCCTCCGAAAATCCGATATTTCCCAAATGTAGAATAGCCGCTGTAATAGCAAAAATTTCGTCTTGTTCTTTTTGATCAAACTCAATTACTGTTAGTGCGTTTTTGACATCACGGTAGCCTTTTTCGTCGTCAACTGATGCGCCGTTTCTCTTGGCCTAAAACATTTCGTTATTATTTATAATAAATGTAAACTTTGTAGTGCTTACTCCATTGGAAATGTAATAGTACGAATCTAAATCCCGTTTTAAGTTAAGTCTTTGCAATTCTTGTTCATCAGCACCGGAAAGTATTTGATAAAAAATGTGAAAATTTCTTTCGCCAGGAACTTGACTGATAACCCGGGACTTTTCTAGTAGATAGTTTAGGATATTTCCGCCAGAAGGATTGCCTTCATAATTAAATTGTACGTCCATGTATTTACCAAAACGACTAGAATTGTCATTGCGATTAGTTTTTGCGTTTCCGAAAGCTTCCAAAACCGGATTTGATTTAAGAAGCTTGTCTTTGACCCTTTCAACGTCTCCTCGATGGTCGGTGATTTCAGCAATGTATTGGAGTATCTTTTTTGATGCTTCAGTCTTCCCAGAACCTGATTCGCCTACAAATTTTATAATAGAGAAACTCATCAAAAAAATTCAGATTTTGCGTACCAGAAATTAAAATGCATTGTTCCCTGTTTTCGTTTTTTAACGACCTGAAGGCAGTGTCTGTTATCGCAAATCTACAATTTAATGAGTGTTTATTAATAGCTCTAATGACTGTGTAAAGGGGGCTTACACATGAGGCGGAACTTCAAAGAAGTGCTTATTATAATAAGCCTTAACGTCTTTGGGTCCATAAATATCCAACTGTTTGTAAGGGTTTACTGAAATTAGTACTTGCCCAATGTACGTCTGAAAACAATTATTTTTAGCTCATATACATCGAGAAATTTAAATTGTGATAAAATATGATTTTTGGGAATTATTTTTTCTTAACACTTATATCGCATGTTCTTTTTTTAAAATTGCCCGAGAATTAGTCTTCATCACGATTTTTTCGGTAACGATTTGTTTTAGTTTAAATTCGTAAAGATAAATTTACCGAAATTTGCGCTTAATTCATTTTAAAGTGTTAAAAAGTGAAAACTATCAAATACCAATTACAGTGGCTATAAAGAACATTATTAATTATAGGTACTTACATAAATTATATTCTCTTTAAACCTCTTCTCAAGATTTTCGACAAAAGCAGTTTCGCTGGTGTAGTCTTCCAAAAGAACAGCATCTTGAACACCCACCTTGTCCCTGTGCTGGAGATGGGTCTCCATGATCGGTCTACAACAAATTCATTGACTTTTATATTGTAGAAAAATTCGTGACACGTATTGAAGGTACTTTTACTCTTGCGATAAAACTGACGTGCCTATCTTTATAGCTTGTTTCTTTTATCTATTCGTTTGTTATTTTCTACTGTCTTTGCTAGAATATAGTGATGGATTTGTGCCTATTTTTACTCGTAATTAAATAATGGCAAATTAAACCATAATTGTACATGCGTGACGATTAGGTTTGCTTCTTCACAACTACCTAAGCAACAAGTCATGCAAACTAATTTTATATCTCTTCAATAAATTTAGAGCAAACCACTAATTCCCTTTAGACGACTGATGGTTGTAGTTTCTTTTCATAAAAAATAGAGTTGCATTTAATTAAAATTAATGACACATTAAAATCGTTATCTTTATAAAATATACACGTAAGTGTACCTACGTGTGTGCCACTGATGATAATAAAATAACAACGTGTCAACAGAGAAAAACAATTTCGATTTCTAAATGAGTATTTCCACAACAAATTTTTGCCAGTACATGTTTGTCAAATGAAGTGTTACAAGCAAAAATCACTAGATTTTTTTTATTTCTTACTTGTTATTTTTATTTCAAATTCACTTTAAATATTAAAAAACGATTCAATTTAATGAAAAAATGTTTTTTAATCATTATACATCTTTCGTGAACTCTAAGAATTTACTTACTTACTTTTTTTGAAGGGCTACTCTCAGCTAGTCCAGATTTACTAATTTTTTGATCGACTTTATCATTCGAATAAAGAAGTCAAAGAAGTTTGCATTGGGTTATTAATTCCGAAGCTTAATTTCTTTAAAACCACCCAGGGTTTCAAAACACCTTATTACTGCCTTCTCTCCACATTTTCTTGTTTGTCTTTTTTTTAGCAAAAACGTAAAATTTATATAATTTTAAAAACTGATTTTCTCCCCCTTGTATTGTCTACAAAAAAGTTTAAACCCCTCATTGGAGACATCGTAACTAAGTATGCGACAATTGCTAGACTTTTAAGGAAAAAATAGACAGGAAATTTTGTTAAGTTTGTTCAAGTAAAAATCGTACAATCGATTCGAAATTAATTACAATGAGTCATTGTGTTTATGGAAAAGTTGGAATTATAACTCAGGTTCAATCTAATAATTCTAAATTGTATGGAAGTGCTCCTCCTACAGGTCTGTATGATTCCCATATGAAAAGTATTAAACCTACAATACAATTTTAAATTAAAAGTAAGGTAAGGTAAGTTAATTATAGTTATTAACATTTATCTTTTCAGATAAATGCACTTCGGTTAGCATAAATCCATAAAAAACCCTTTTACGACAAATTGACGCTTTTGGGATCAATTATGCCGATATCATTTTCATTTTGGTACTAAAACATTTATTGATCAATCAATTCCATGTCAGATAAATGATAAATGATTGACACTTTAACGGTATACCTGCCAGATGATTCTGTTGGAAGTCGAGTCTCGTGTCACTCATCTTAATGTACATAACATAACAATATATCTTTCAGATTTTATAGTCCAAGATTCATTTTTCCACATATTGGTGTCTATAGCCGCTTATCTTTCAAGATTTAATAAGTGTCTATTGTCTCCTAATGTGCAGATGCTGCGATGGCTTAGAAAATGAATCATTAAACAAATATCCATTTTGACGACATTTGTATAAGTACTTTCCTGTTTTTTAAATAAATAAACGTAGTTTTAAAATGCATTGTTTTATTAATTATTACCAGTTACTGGTTCCAAGAGACGAAGAAAGTAACAACTTATTAAATAATTGATTGTATCACATTGTCATTCTTTTATCATTTTCACCTGCAAGATAAGGTTGATTGTCACAAAATGGCCTTCAGAAACAATTAAATTTTAACATGCAGGAAAAAGTAGAATTTATTGTATTGCACATTCTAGAACTGTTTATTTTGTTTTATTTGTTTAATTACTGTCTACTACATTTAAATAATTATGATATATGTACTTAAAATACTTTTTTTTTATTTTTGTTAATTTATTCGTTCGAATAGTTAAAGCAAACGAATAAAAAAGCGAAAACAAATAATGTAATTTGCAAGAAGAATGTAATTCAGTTCTATTAATTTGTTATCGAACAATCTCTGATATCGTATGTTACCGAACAATGTTATCATATTATATCAGCGGCATTTTATTGGAATGTCTGGAGCCGCCTTAAACCAAAATCTCGAAAAAGAAACAAATATGACTCTCAAATAGCTCAATTACTGTAACAATTTGTTAATTAAAATTGCTGTTAACCTAATTTCATTGACTAAATGATGTACATTGTGGTGTAATTGTTTCCGCAAGTTCTCAATTCTTCTAAATATTTGTCTTTGCTCTTTCGCTACAAGCGCTTAAATGTTACTTACCTTTCTACCGGTCGAAATTAGAACATTCAATGCACTACTATATTTCCTTTACAGCCAATATCATGAAACTAACTGTAGGTATAATATTGTTGAAGCCTCTGGATGTGATAACACTTATCTTTTTTATCGTGATAAATGATGACATCAAATGCTTTCCTTATTGGTTAGTTAGATTTTAGCAAGGTTTAGTAATACTAATAACACAATTTATCAATTGATAGATTTTAATAAGTGTAATAAGTTACTTTAAAGATATTTTCATGACGTAATATTGAGGACAATCAAAGGATTAAAGTGCTTTATTACTTGTTATTTACGCAACTGCACTATATCTTTTGTTCACATCATCGATGAAAGCGAATGGTATTTTTGCAATTTTAGATGTAAAATTCCGAAATTTATATAATTTATCGTACATCTCTATCACTTATTAAATGCAATATAAAAATTTATGATTAGCTGTTAATTGTTACTTCCTAGAACACAAGTGAATAATTTTGTTGTATAATTGAGAATTTGTATCAAAGCCTTAATCTAAACATGTACGTAAACACTTTCACCTTACTTTCCTGGCAAATAATTGAAAAGTCCATTAAAGACCAAATTAAACAATTGTTTCAATTGTTGATAAACCTAAATATGAATTAAAATGTTTACGGAGGCCACATTTCAAGCATTTTTAAAAGCAAGTATCGCAATATAAGTCCTAAATGTACGAAATGAAATATAAGTTTGAACATAGCCACAGAACACCTAACATAGCTAACTGATTGTCATTTTTGACCTTTTTACATTGAATTGTTGACACTGAAGACAATTGACCACAATCACACGATGAAAATTTTCAATCCTGCCAAATTTAAAGTGTTTTTTTTTGTTTGTATTTTTGTCTTTTTTGAATAGATACTACTTTTCAGACAATTCATTTAGAACAAAAAGAAAAGTTTTCTACAAAAATTTGTCACTAGATTTGTCTTTTTTCAATTATTTCTGGACGCCCTATGTATTTTAAATATTTATACATACATTTAAATTTCTGAACAAATAGGTACATTTTTTTTATTTTGTGCACAACAAAGTTAAGAAATGTTCCACTTTTTGTAATAAACAATAAGACTTAAATCTTTTCACATACATGAAACCGCTTCAGACAAATAAGGGCACTTGCTTTCAAGTGAGTTTGAAGATGCACTTTATACTTTCATTAACTTTTAAGGCTAATCTCGGCCTTTAAGTATCTAATATCGCATTAAGTCAAAACATCTGATGTTATTCGTTAATACGAGTGAAAGTCTTTTGAAAAAGGATTTAAAAAATTAAATCTAACATATCCGGGGTTCTAAATCGTTATCGCAGGTGTATTAAAATTCTGCCATAGACGTCGCTATGAAGGTTGTAGAGCCAAAGTACTCTTGAAGTCATTGTCCCTCGAGTGACTCAGTTATTTCTTTAAAAGACTGGGTCTAAATATCTAGAAATTGTGTGGGATGATTGTCGTGGGTTTAGTTTGTATTTCCTCATTAATTTTTAATAGATTGAGAAAAAATTTCTAGTAATTACATGCTATTGTGTTGACTAGAAGAATATAGGTATATTTGATGTCGAAATTTCTTGTACCCTGTTAATTAAAATAAGAAAATGGAAAGAAAGTACATAAAGTATATTTGCTCTCACTAATAAATGTCGAAAATTAGTAAAAATTGAAAAACGGAAAAAATTGTAAGTAGATTCTAGTCCAAAGCAAAATTCTGCTACAACTTTCCTTTTAGTTCGCTAGTCTATGATAAATGCACGTAATAAAAGAAAATATTAAATGCCATTCAAAATGTGTAAATAAATTTTAATTAAAAATAAAAATTATTAGTAATAATTTATGATAATATAATTATCTTATTACACATTTTATTTGTGAAAAGCCATAAAGCTGTTTGAGAAATTGATTGCAGTTATTTTTATGGTTACAGTTTTTTCATTTTATTACAATCACCTCCAATTGAAGTTATGAGGAATTTATAAAGGAATGACTAATTTTAAGAAAAATACACGATCTAATTAATGATTGGAAATACAATAATTGATAACCGACATATGATATTGCTGTTTTTATGAAAACCTTGAAAAAGAAAATTATGAAATTAATAAATTGCTTTTAATTTTCTATTTTTATTCATGTCATGTTATAATAACAGTAACACAAAAGCGTGCACTTTTTGAAAATCATTCAAAATTCCGTGTCATTAGCTAAGTGTTGCACTTAATTTTTCCAATGTTTATCCATCAAGGCAACAATAAAAACATATTCTTTTATTGTCGCGTCATTAGATGTGCTGTCAACTCAATTATTTATAATTTCATAACACCGCATAAAATGGGTCTGGGTTTCCTACTTTCATAAATAATGAGGGTCAATTAATTCTACTTACTTTCCAGAAAACACCTGTCATTAGATTATGTATTTACTTTATTAATTTTTATAATTCGAACGTCATTTTGTGAAAACCACATTTTTTATTTCAATTGAAGAAATTGGACCAAATTGCCTAAATCTTAAAAATAGACAGCAGAACAATAAAAATAATATGGTGTACCCATCAAAATAACCCAGTAACCTATTAATGTATTAAAAGAGTTACTTAACTTGATTGTCCACTGAAATAGTCACTGTTTATTGATATTTATTTTGTTACGACAAGGATTTTTCAGGTACGTGTATTGTATGTGTAATGTTTCACAAGGAAAACAAATTTCGTTTTTGTACTTTTTTTAAATATATGTATGTATGTACTGCTGACTGATAACTGCACTTTTATTTTGAATGTTTAGAAAATTATTTCATGCTCACTGAGAATGTAAAAACTTGCATCTTGTAATCACTGAAACAAGAAAACGTGAGTTGAATATTTAAAATTGTTATTTACTCAAATATTCAGAAAAAGTAAAAAACATACGGGTAGAAATAATTAAAAAGACTCTTACTTTCAAACTAAATATGTAACTAGTAATAAATCACATTAATTGCTCACACCATAAAATTTTATTGTTGAAATAATACGAGGAATGTTTAGTTTCATTTTTGTTTATTTCCTATGCACCTTTATACAATGCAGAAACTTTTTCGAATTCGAAATTACTGCTATTATAACCTCATGAATCAATTTGTTTGGATTAAACCGTTTATTACTGTATACAAATGTTAGACCATTTTTATCTTATAGTGGTATAAATATTGAAGTGAGACTAGAATAAACCTGACTATTTTAAAGTAGTCAAAAATGTGTAGTGACCTAATTGCGTCAAAACAAATTAATATATCATAATTATATTAATCATGAAATGAAAACTTTATCTTACATCTCACACTTATTGTAAAATTCCACCATTCATTATAGTTATTAAAATAGTTTCCTTGGTTTGATAAAAAAATAATAAGAAAATTAATCAACGAAACTATGTGAATTTTTCAAGGAAAATTAATTCAGTGTGCATTGTCGCTACACCTTACATTTTTAATTACAGCTTTCCGCTAATTAATCTGTTTACAAAGCTCTTCGCACACTTCCGTTCATTCATAAATTTGGAAAATATGCGAAAGCTCAGGAATATTTACCCCGGAACTAAACTTACTTAAAAGCTAAACATCCAAAAGTTTAATAACTAGTAGATTATGAATTTATTAGAAATAAAACAAGCGGAAATACAAAAAAATATATATTGTTCCAAATAAGGAAACGTCGCCTTTACATGTTAAAAAGCTTTTTTGAAGAAAAAGTCAATAAAATAGTTTCCTTGGTATGATAAAAAATAATAAGAAAATTACTCAACAACAAGACAAGACGCCCTTAAGTCTTGACAAAATTTAGTAATTGTACAACTCAGTGTAAAAAAATAAGTAGGGTTTACGTAAACAAACAATAAAATAACAAATATAAAATAAAGTTATAATAAATTTGAAAATTGCACTTTTATCACTTTTAGATAAAACCCTCTGTCACAAAGGGCATGAAGATTATATCAAACGATAGATCAAATAAACATTAAATAATAGAAGAATTTAATTAAGTCAAAGCATGATTTTTTTCAAAATTTTGTAGTAAGGGAAGGAAACTTTGTAAATTAGTTTTTTTCGAAACTTAAAATGTCTCATGTTTTCCAAAAGTTGTAGCCTTGATGTATTAAAAATAATCAGTATTTAATTTTTATTTTCCCTACTTGATACACGATTTTATTTGTTAAACCCTTCAAAAACAGAAGTGTTATATTCTGAAATAACCAGTTCCACATATTTCTCGGAAAATTACGGTTTGTTTCAGGAAGAAAAGAATGCCTTCATTATACATACAGATGGGCAAATACCGGTACTGCCGGTACCTGCACCTACACAAGATAAAACAAGGAACCACTCAGTACACGAATAAATGGTTTGTTTGTATGACTAACACATGTAAGCATATAACATTTTTTTAACAAAATAATTTTTTGACCCAACAACCGAGACATTTTCATCAATCCAATTGAAAACAAACCGCAAAAATTTGTAGGTTGAATAAAGTGCGCAAGCACATTGTCACTTGCTGACCTAATAATATGTTTCAGCAAAGAAAAATTCGATGTGTCATCGTTTGGGTGTTTTCCCTTGATTTAACCGGCGTTTTATTTTTTTAAATAGGGCTTGCGTACGTACCAATTGTCTTCCAAAAATTCAGGTATATTCAGTTGCACAAAACTTCACCACGGAATATTTTTTCATGTTTTTTGAAAAAGTCGCACTGGCATCGTCAGGAAATGAAATTCACTGTGGCGCGTGTCACGCTATTTCACGCACGTGTAGTTCAAAATGTCGCGATCCTATGTATAAAACGCGGGCATTGACAGCCAGACTGCATATTCCTTCGTGTTTGGAGTCTTCGACCACTCTGTCTCGGTGGTCCCCAGAACACAATATGAACTCTCCCGCCTGCGATGAACGGTGAAAGGTTGCCAGTGGCGGTGCCGGAGAAAAATTACAGTGACATTTTTCACGATGCACCAGACATGAATATTCACTTTCGAGGATTTTAAAATAATGAACCTCTTTCTGTCTTTATCATTTATTGATTTTGGATCATTTTATTGGTGGCACACTATAATTTTGTAATGACCGGATTTTGTCCTGACTCCGGTGCCTCCATTTTGACAAATAACAATTCGAATCACACCACTATCTAATGAAATTTATTGAAGATGACTGAAATTTCTTGTTTTCAGTCTTGTAATTGTCTCCGTGACAGATTAGCAGGATTTTCTAAAGTTACTTTATCGTTTTTACTTTTGTCTGGCGTTTCTATCGCATGTGGTGCTTACGAAGGAGAAAACTCGTTTGTCCACCACTAGCACTTGCTTTTTGCCGGTTTGCCTCTTCGGGACTGAGGAGTTGAGTTGTTATCCTTGTCATCTGTACCATTGCACTTTTTCATTTGTAACGTATTGAATGCAATATAAATTCTGAGGTCTACAATGTGATACACTTAAAAAGCTTTCCATTATCCACACCACATATTTTGCTTTCAAGTATAGTGTTCTGTGATTTGTTGTGGACACTGTATTGTAAATCAATGAATTTCGTATCAAAAGAAAAGGAAAATAATGTACTTTGTGTTCCAATTAAGGCCTGTATTTAAAAAAAATGTTAAACACAAATTTACATAATGAGTTAAAACAATTCAATTAAAAAAAGATATCTCGAAACTAATTTTTTTTATTGCTCTAAAGTCAATTTATGGTCAACACAAATTAAACTACTTCAAATTAAGATTAAAAGTTTTTATTTCAGAATTTTTCAAATTAAGAACATTAACATTTTACTAGTTACTCTTGAAATTTTGTTTTATCTAAAACATCGACAGTAATTTTTTATCAATTTTTGTCAAAATGTGGGAAATCATTTTTTCTTAGAAAAAAATATTAAATTTTTTTTGGGTGATTGCAAGATGGAATTGCAGACGATTTTTAATAACAACCAATATCTATAATCTCATTTAAATACTTGCAAGATGGAATTGCAGACGATTTTTAATAACAACCAATATCTATAATCTCATTTAAATACTTTTAAAATTTTTAACATTTTGTTACAAGTCGTTGTGTTTATTTAAAATTTCAACATTTGTAACCATTTACACACAAGTTCAATTATCACTAATACTACCACAAAAGTATAATGTACGAGTAAATTAGCTGCAATTTCTATTTTCAAATTAGTTGCAAGTAGGTAAAGTAAAACGTCGAGGAAATTGAAATTACGAGTGTCAATAACTAGGTATTTAAATAATATAATCAAATATTGGTGAGCAACTATCTTATTATCAGTACCCAGCTGTCTTAAATATTTTTGTTTGGTTAAAGAACAATTCATTTCAGGCTAAATTAAATAACCTTTGCTAATTTACACTTTTTTCCGAATTTCGACTGTTTTGCGTTGACTAAATTCTATTATCTTTCTTTTACGTGTACATCTTTTTCGTAATAAAATATTTTTTTATTTTTGTGGGTGGTTTTTTAATTTTATCTATAAATATATTTCCGTATGCAACACTCTTGGATTAAAGTCTCGTATTTACATAAACTTATTTTAAAAGAACTACATTTAAATGTACTGACCTTAACTTCGGATTTGTTGATCGACTGACAGCCGTACAAAGTTAAACATGTACCTGTATTTTTTGTCAAGGAATCTTATTAGGTCAGGGTGATAAAGTGAAGCTGGTTAACCACTAGAAATCAATATAAGTAAGCCATTGATTTATCTGGTCAGAATAGTCCACTATCTGCTTTAAATGTAGATGCGAGATAAATAATTACAAGTGATATGATAAATATCTAATATTTACATATTTTTAATGTCAAAAACATCCTCCTACAGAAATTTAAAAATTGACGAGTAAAGTTTTTACTCATTTGTTATTTAAACCAGAAACTTTTTACTCACATTTTTCATTTACGAAAGAACACTTGAACTTATACGTATATCGCAGACAATTCATCACTTGAACTCCTCAAATATTTATACTACAATTGGTAGTAAATGAATCGATATATAGACAGATTGGGAATAATTATTCAAATAAAATATTTACAACAACTGTAGAAAGAATGCTTGAATGAAGAATTTTCATGACCATTTTTGATTTGCAAAAATGCTTGAATACTTATTTTAGTACAGTATTTAGCGAAAGCAATTTCGCCTTAACTTTATCCTGACATAAGTCGTGTATCATGAAACCAGTCACGATTAATCTTTACTGTGAAATTAAATATTTGTTAAAAAACACGAAAAACATCAAGATTTAGGTCGTTATTTCTTGAATTGTTTTATTTTTTTAAAGGAAAACTTATTATTATATTATTGCTTACACTTTGTAATAAACCATTAGTTTTCCACCTATTACTTAACCTTGATATTGATTAAGTAATTAATATTGTTAAGTGATAAAATATTTATGACCTGCGTGTTGTGATTTTATTCGTTTGACTTACAACTTACAACCCCACAAAGCTTTTTAGATTTTTTCTCTAAAATTTTTTTAACAATCGACTCATGTACATTGAAGTTGAGTTTATTTTACCAATTTATTTATATAATTTTGCAATAAGAACAAAATATTTTTTTTAAGTTAACATAATCCTTGCACACTTGTAATTATTATTCAAAACCTGACGTTATCGTTCATCTGCAAACCTACAATTTGTATCGACTTTATGCAAATATTTTTCCGAAAAGAAGATATAAAAATATATGAGTCAACGGCGTATTCTTGTTAAAACAGCTTTATTTCTTGGTAAATTGGAAATGAAAAATTTTAATTACAATTTATAAGTTGCGTGTAGAAATGAATACTTATACTTACATATTTATCCGCAAACCGCAAACGTCACAAAAGTGACAACTTTTATGACTAAATGTCAGAAATAAAAGTTTTACCATGACATTATTGACATTTAACACTGTTTACTTTTTTGTCTATTTCGCTGTTTCATCAATTTCTGGAGAGGTACATCTAAAATATTCGACATTTTGCATTACTAACTAGTTAAATTAATAAACAATTTTGATACCTTTTGTTTATAAGTATTGTTATGATTTCATTACTTACAAAGCGTCCTGATTATTTTATTAATTTACTTGCGAATTATAACGATGCTTTTTACTCTCGATCTAAATACGTTTTTTAATAAAATAGTATATGTTATCTAAAAGTAAAAGGGAGTTTATGTGACTCAGATAAATTATTTGCAACGTTCGCTTCACCAAATAAACTATCAGTTTATTCCTAGTAACATAACATACTAATATCTTGTTTTTGTGACTCAATTTTCCATTTTTGAAATTACACAATAAGAAAATGAATTAATGAAATTAATTTTTGTTGTTCAAACAGCAAAACGTGGGCTGGTGTGCTATATTTGTTTCACTGCAATTTATTCAACTCTAAAGCTGCAAACTGCATTTTCTTTCTTGTTGCGTTTCATCAAACCAAAACCCACAAGTATCGCATGTTGACACGTATCGTAAAACACTTAATTTTATGGATAATAGTTTTGTAATACATAATAAATAACTTTCTGTAAAATTCTGATTAAACTATGAAGTTATGAGAAAAAAAATTTCCAAAACTAAACATAACTAAATTAGGAATATATTTCCAAATTAACTATTGTTTAGTTTTTTATTCAAAATTTGGACTTTTACAAGTTTTTCGATATTTGACTCATGGTTACATTCATAAAAAATTAAAATTTAAATTCCTATAATCGGTTACCTTAAACTCTTAAATTAGTATTAGATATGACGTCATTTGTATTAATTGGACGACGCGTAGCGACGGTTGGCGTCAATGTCAACTGTTCGCGTGTTTTGTAGCGTCGTCAGCGTCAGTTGTAACGCGTTGCACGTGCTATAAACACTTTACCAACAAACTGTTTGTTGTATTTTCACTACATACACGTTAATTATCTGAAGTCGTGTATTTATTTACGATTAAAAATGATAACGATGTAAATTGCTCCCTCGCAATTTAAAGCTTTATTTGCAATGTGAAAATTTAAACAAAATGAATGAATGAATGACTTGCGGTAAGTACGGAAACTACCCTGACCTACCCTGACCTAGCACGAAAATGTGAATGCAAAAATCCAGAGCTTTTCATTGTGATTTCGCACCATCAATGGACGTAGTAATTAATTAAAAATACTTACAAGAACTTTTATGTTTGATGGATGAATTTTTTTTAACATATTAGAAACACGAAAATGGTAACGCGTCCTGGAAACCTGTACAAAACTCCTCCAGGATCACGTGGCACAAGTCCTGCGAGAAGTTTGAACAGGAGTACTAGACCCAGTCCTGTCCAATCACCGAATCGAACTTCTCGAAGTCCAATCAGGACTACTTCTAAAAAAATTCAAAGCAGTCCAGACAGACAAAGAAAAACTCCGGAGAAAATTTTAATTAGATCAAGAGGCAACAGTCCTGCGAAAAGTCGGGATAGCTTGTCGAGATCAAGAGGGAGCGAGTAAGTCACAACTTTTTAAATTTTGGACGCTCTAGAAGTTTGTTAATCCCAAATTAGGAAAAGTTTTGCAAACACAAACGTTATAATGTTTTGTTGAATTTTGTTATTTTGAGATGTGAACTGTATTAATTTAATCGTGCGATTCGATAGCACAGGTCTTTGGCCTTCTTATAGTTTATGCAAATTTGCAAACAAAAATAGTTTTCTCATAATGTAATTTTTTCAGGTCAAAAGTTTTAACACTATTCGTGATCACACGAAACAAAAATCGAAAAATAGCATTTATTATGCCGATTAGCACAAGTTAATTGTAGTTTAGGATTTTTTAAGATATGAAAATGAAAATTTTTTGTGTTATTTTTAAGGATCAAACTACATTTTGTTAACATTTCCATTTTATTAAATGCCGACAATTGCCCACATAAAGCGGATTCTTTATTGTCACAACTACAATTTATTTCTATGCTGATTAGGTACTGTTTGAGTTTGTCATCGAAATTGGGTTTATAGTGGAAGCTTAAATAATGGAAGACCAAATTGTTTACACAATTTAAGTAAATTGCACATTATAGGTATACCTTACCTATGGATATATCATTTCTACGATAATAATATTCCTACATACTTTATTTTGTTGAAGACATAACATACCAAAGTTATATTTTAATATAATAACGCTTTAAACAAACAAAACAAAATCAGCAACATTTTT